TACAGGCTGTGCAGAGAGGCCTCAGAGACAGTCCAACACATAGTGGCTGGGTGTAAGATGCAGGCAGGAACAGCATATACTGAACAGCACAACCAAATAGCGGGCACTGTGTACAGGAACATCTGCACAGTGTATGGGCTAGACCCTCCCAAGTTCAGATGGGAGATTCACAGAAGGTGGTGGAGAATAACAGGGCTAAGATCCTGTGGGACTTCCAGATCCAGAGAGACAGGCAGGTACTGGCCAATCAACCAGACATCATCATAGTAGACAAGGACCCGAAGACATAAGTAGTGATAGATGTAGCAGTGCCAAGTGACAGCAACAGCAGGAAGAAGGAGCATGAGAACCTGGAGAAGTACCAGGGCCTGAAGGAGAATGTGGAAAATAAAGGCCAAAATGGTCCTGGTGGTGGTAGAAGCACTTGGGGCTGTGACTCCTAAGCTGGGAGAGTGGCTCCAAAGATCCCAGAAATAACATCAGAGCTCTCTGTCCAGAAGAGTGCAGTGTTAGGAACAGCTGAAATATTGCACAGAACCCTCAAACTCCCAGGCCTCTGGTAGAGGACCTGAGATTGAAGAAGACACATACCATACATAGGGGCGAGAGGGGATTTGTGTGTGTGTGTGTGTGTGTGTGTGTGTATGTGTGTGTCAGATGCAAATATATCTTACATTAATGCAGAATATAGGGAGGTTTGACACAATGGACTTAGATTGAATAGATACCAATCTGAAATGGAAGGCATTTAGACTGATCTTTACAATTTTTCTGTAGTGCAAATCAAAACAAGTTTCAGGAAAAGACATTTCTAAGTTATTTCTAAATGAGAAGCTAGTTATATAGTTTCCATCAATTCTAATCTGTATTGCTCCTGTGATAAATTTGTTACAGACTCTCCATTGTACAGTTACACATTTGCAAATTATATTGACATGGAATAAAGATCCTCACCAAAACCCTTTGAAAACTCCTCAGATATGGGGACATGGGCCCTCTCAGCAAACACATCAGCCTTATTCACCAGAGCTTCTTTTACAGTCTCATATCCTGCTAGCACCACTATTTTCTGGGTTCCCAGCTGGATTTTGAAGACAGGTCCATACTGTTTTGATAGCTGAAAAAAAAGAAAGAGAGAGAGAGAGAGAGACAGTTCTGGACAAAAATTGACCATTTACAAAGAGTAAGGAGTATGTAACTTACACCTCAGAGATCTAAGATACAAATTTATAATAATAAACATATTTACCTAAGAGAAAAGACCATTTATGAAATGTACACGGCCAAGTAGTAAGACATGGTTGCAGATTCTAGATTTCAGTAATATACAATACCAAGTAACTGTGCCTTGAACTGAACTGAAAATATGTTATTAAAAATATGTTCTAAATTAGTAAGGAAAACAGAACTGGAATATTAGTGGGCCATTGTAGTTCAGCACCATATTCATTTCCTTCTATCAGCAGTAAATGTTGAAATAATGCATCAGTACCTTCAACCTTTTCCCTGCAGTTCTTTGATGAAAGTTTCCCACTAGTTTACTCAACAGAGAAATATCTGCTTCCAGAAAATCACTACTTTGGAAGCCAAGAATGAGGGAGAGTGAGGCCAAGAAGGTGGTGGGAGAATGACTGAGAAGAGAGGATGGAATTTTCTATGTAAAATGAGAAGGAGAGAGGGAGAGAGAGGGAGGGAGGGAGGATTGTGGGTGATACTAAAGAGAGTACAAGAAAGCCAAGGGTAAAGAGGAGAGGACTGGGGAGTTACAAGTATTTGAAATGTTGTGCTTGAATTCTAGTGGGCAGGGCTGCTGACCCCTTTTGTTACCCCCCCTTCTTTTAGAAAGCTAAGGCAGAGGGTAGGATTTGATCACTTGCCTTCATTTATGCGACTCTTTTATTCCTCTGAAGAATGAATAAATGGATTCATTTGGGTTTCTCTCATTTGACCAGTCTTAAAGTTTTCATGTCCAACTATATTCTCAGTGCAGTTCATTTTTGTGTATCTTTCTCCAAACAGATGCATTTTTGTTTAGGTTTACCCCTAATAAACACTTTGGGAAACATGTTTTTTTCCTTATAATGTATTTACACATTATTTATATGAATATATGCAGTTGTTTACAGAAATCTTTCTAATATACTTTTATTTTTTGACTAGTGAACTGCAAATTTTGAACAAGTACTTCAAAGGATTGAAAGAGCCAGTTTGGTGTAGCGGTTAAGGCACCAGGCTAGAAACTGGGAGACCGTGAGTTCTAGTCCCACCTTAGGCTCAAAGCCAGCTGGGTGACCTTGAGCCAGACTCTCTCTCAGTCCTAGGCAGCAGGCAAGAGCAAGCCGCTTCAAAAAAACAAAAACAAAAACAAAAACAAAAAAACACCTTACCAAGAAAACTGCAGGGACTATAGTAGTCCAGGCAGCTGCCAGGAGTCAATAATGACTTGAAGGTACCAAAAAAAAAAAATAAAAAAAATCACTTACAAGACATTTTTATGACCCTTCCAAATAAAATCTCTCAACACACCCAGCTATTTTCAGTATAAGCTTATCAAATGAAAAAACTATGGACTTACTGGGCAGTTTACAATAAAATTTTGCTTAAAAACAAACTAGGAGGGCAACAAATGCGAGATTTTATGAAAACTATGCTTTGCTTTATTATTGTTACATTTGATTACCATATGCATTTGATTACCAAAAAAGTGGCAGACTCAGGTTCACTGTCCCTGATCTAGGATATATCTGTAGGGAATGATGTGAGTCATCTAGCTTGAGAGCATTCCATTCTTCTTCTGCATCTCTTTGGTTGGAGCCAACTGTCATTTCGCTAGTCTACAAAGTAATCAAATGCTGCAATCTTTGCCTTGCAATGGAAAGAATGAGAAATGTTACCTTTAACATTGTATGGTAAAGTTTCTTCAGATCCATTATGTGGAGGTTTCCAACAACAGGTAAAGGCCTAGGTCCTGGTGGAAAATCTTTAGAGCTGTTCTTCCAGATGTTGCCCATTTTCAAAAGGAGCATAATCATAAGAGAATATAGGAACAGTATTGAAATAGGAACGATCCAATCCATTTCTTTTTAGTAGGCAGGTTCTTTGGTGGTTCTAATGAAAAGTTTGCAACACAATTTGATCAAGGACAATGTCTGCCAATTGAAAAGATCTAAAAAGGACAGAAGCATTAGGCAGGGTCTAGGTGATGTGTCAAGCCTATCCCTGAGCCATCCAATTTATGGAATTTGTCCATTGTCCTCCTCCTGAGGGAGGGAGGGAGGGAGGGAGGGAGAGAGAATCATTTTTCTTTTCAAAACAAGTTTAAACTCTTTAACCTAGTTGAAGGCTAAGATTAATTGCAAGACTGTCAGAAAGGCAGAAAGGGTCTTTCACAGTTATCCTTGGGCAATGATTGAAACTGTAGTTAGTAAGGAATTTTGAACACTTATCAGAAGTTTCTGAGAATTTCCCTCATTGGACTCTTTACAGGTATGGAACTGAGAATGCATGGAGTTTTCTCCTCACCACTAAGTCCAGGGAAAGGGATGAGGGGGAAAAATATTTTTGTACTTGAGCCATTTTAAACCCATTTCCTCTGCAGTTAACTTTCTCTGATTTATTCCTAGACACATAGGCACTCACATGCTCTCTGTGTGGCTATATATTTTCACATAAACTTCAGAGTTACCCAGTAACAACTCAACTTTGCTGCATATATCTTTAGTAGCTACTTGGTTTATCCAATAAAGATCCCTTCCCTTATACAAGAGATTGCCAGTTTAGTGCCTGCTGAGAGGAAGGTATCTATGGATCTCATTGGTGGTCCAATTTAGTCACTCTCCATGTGTTTAGTCTTCAGTTTCCAGAGTCTCCTAACCAGAATTACCACAGAATTATCAGAGGTGGGGTGTTAGAGAAAACTGTCCAATTATACATATTTATGTAAAGGCCCCTGGGCCGCACATGAGCTCCATAAACATGGTTTAATATAAAAATGGTGGATGACTGAAATTCTTTGCTTTCATTGGCACTTGCCCAGGAAAAAGACCAAGGCAAATTTGGACAGTAAGAAGCATCCTGGACGCCAGGAGAGCACAGTCACAATCAGTCATGTCCTCAGTGGCAGCCATTTTTTAGTCTTCTGTGACACACCCTCAAAATGTCAAAATGTGCCGCCCCTTGAATTAGTCTCAATACCAGATGGCCATTTAATACTAATTTGTACAGTTTGTTATTGTATTTTATGTACTTTTACTTTGTTGCACTTTATTCTATATTTAATGTGTTTTTTAAAAGAATTCAAACTGTCTGGGATGTATTGTATCATAGGCAGTATACAAATATTTTAAATTGGTAAGTAATCCTGTTTTGCCTTGGGAGGCTTTTGGATTCTTATTTTACCATAGCAACAGAATGGCCTATTTATATAATTTTTTACTGCTCATCCTGATGAGAGTGTTACTGTTTTATCATTCTGCAAAAAACCTGCTTTTATCATTCAAATCCATTGACCATTCACCACACTTCTCCATATATATAGTGCAGATTGAAATATATA